ACAAATAATGTTCTTTAATTACTAATAATTAACTCTTTTTTTTTTTTTTTTTTTTTTTTTTTTCTTTCAATTTTTCAGGTTTCTATCGTGAGTTTTGCATTAGTCACATGTCTTTATACGGCTCTAGCCTTCATGGGTGCGAAATGTTTGGCCCTGGAGTGAGTTCGCAAATCACTCTCAGCATGCCACCCCTCTCATCGTCACTAAAATAGCTTTATGGGCAACTGTGTTGACACCAAGACCAAATATGCTCTTGAATTTGCACCATTTGCTATTCAACTTGAACAGCATCTCCCTGTTTCATTCTCTTCCAAAACCAAAATGATCATAAGAGGAACTGTTGGTTCTTTTTTACTTCTAGTCATATTAACCCTCGCTCTTTCACTGCCATATTTTAACACGTCCTTAGCCTTACTGGCTCTCTTGTTAGTTTTGTATTGTGTCATTTTACCTTGTGCCTTTTACACCAAGATCTGTTGGGCTCAAATTTCTAAACCCTTTATAATACTTAACGTTACCCTCATTGCATTTTGTTCTTTTCTTGGGTTTTCGGAACAATGTCTCTTCAAAGTCACTGTACAAAATCTACAGAGATCGATTCACAGGACGGGACATGATATAATGGAATTCGAGATTGCAGGAAGATATTCTACTATCTGAGTTGGATCCATGATAAGATATATTATGGTTTCTGTGTCTATAAGTTTTTCTCTGACTTTTATGAAAGAAAATAAAAGTACTCCAATAATATGCTTCAAGAGAAATCGTTTACGTATATGCTGTTGTAATATGGCATACTTAATAATTAATACACCTTTACTTGTACTAGTTTTAACTGTAATTTATTCCATGCTGCATAATTTTATTTGACAATTCCCAATTTCAATAAATAGTTAATGACATTATGTTAGGATCCCACAATGGATCTTACACAACCAAGTGTGGTACTTAAGCCTAGAGGTTCTCACACCTGTCAGACTGGTTTTTTGGGTTGGGTAGTGGGCCTTTGATCGGAATTGAGTTGGACATTGGTCCTTGTGGGTGGGGTAGAATTCTCCTAGAAAACTCCTTAGAAAACTGACTTGGGAAGGAAAAAGGTGGGCGATGTTTATAAGGATTGGGCACCCTCCCTTGGCATGCGGTTTCTAAAGAGAGTTCTACCCAAGCCCACAAAAGGACCAATGTCCAGCTCAATTCCTATCAAATGCCACTACCCAACCCAAAAGACCAGCCTGATAGGTGGGATAGCCTTAGGCTTATACACACTTGATGAGTGTGAGATCCTGATGTGGGATCCTAAAACATTAATCCCTTTAAGGTAAGATAAAATAACAAAATTTTCTTCTAAGGTTTCAAAAACAATGGAAATTCCTCTATTATTAAGTTTTGGATGTTAAGATAAACGACAGGAGGCAATTTAGTAATATTCTTAACTTAAAGGTGCGTTTGGATCAGGGCATAAGATAACAGGGTAATCTTCATTTATTTTGCAAGATTCCGATGTTTGGTTTGCAAGTAATAAATATATACGGAAAACTTTTATTGCAAATAGTGTTTACTGTTGGTAATGTGGGGGGTAATCCGATACCCTCCCCCACCCCTAGGATTAAAACATTGCGGGTAATCTATTTTTTATACCCATTTTGCCCTAATTAAAAACTATTTCAGACACAATGCCCTAAAATGTCTACCAAATAACAATTACCCAACCCCCTACATTTGAGAAATTAGCTAAAACACCCAACTACAAAAAAGTTTAAAAGTTAACAAAATACCCCCAGCCCACCAAGACCACTTGGCGTTACCACTGTCAGCATAGTTGCTGTATGGTGCACGACCGAGAGATCTGGCTAGAAAACGACAGATTTGAACATTTTATGGCGTTTCACAGCCAAAGATCTAGCCGTTTCACCGCTAGATTGTGTGCCGTAACGATCATAGATCTAGTCGTGAAACTGCCATGGATTTGTGATCCATGGCCGAAAATAGCTTTGCTGGGCACGGCCGGATATATAGGCCAATCGTAAGCCATTCCATCGATTATCGGCACGGTCAGCGGTGGTGGCTGGTTGCCGACAGAGCTTGGGGTGGGTGGGTGATTTGCTACAAATTAAAGTTTTATATGGTTGGGGTTTTTTGTAAAATTTCAAATATAGGGGGTCAAAAAAAATTTCAAAAAATAATAATAAAAATATTATTTATTAATATTTAAAAAGGAGGGCAACTTAGTATCTATATAACATATTAAAAGATAAAATTTACAATTAATTTAAGAAGATAAATCTTGTGGAGCGAGCCATTAACAATCTTGATAACCTTGGGGGAGCTTTAGTAATGTAAGGAAGTCGGAGTTTGTGAAGAACTGGAGAATACGAATACTGGATATTAGGTTGATTTCTGAATGCTCATAGAGGGTCAGCTCTTGTTTATATAGTGAACCCAAGGGTCTGAATCCTAATAGGACTCTAAGTCCTACTTATAGGTGAGTTCTCTTTTCGAAAGAGATTAGATTTTTCATGGGTTTGACCATGTTGATTAGGTTAGGTTGGCTTTGTTGGCTGGGTTGATTTGACCTACTTTGGCCAGGTCTAGGGCTCCATTTTTATGTATTTCGGGTTTCCGGGTTAGGAAAACCCAATTTTGATTTGTTTTGATAATAATATAGTAGCTCCTTCAACATTTATAAAATTACACTTTAGCACTCAAGGATTGAAATATGACAATTTCATTCCTACGATCTGGAAAATCTAGATCGCAATTCTGCGACTCTAGTAGCCAAAAATCAGCCATTCCTCTTCTCTGATGGTCGGAAAAAATCTCTCTAAAGCCTATTATGGGTTCAGTTGTGTGAGCCATGTGCTCACACCACGGCGACCGAAGTGGCAAGAAGAGAATCACCACTACCAGCAATGAAAGAGGCCAGCTAGGGTTGAAAAACAATAAAATTGAATATTATAACTCTCAGTTTTGCAATAATGGGTTTCAATTCAAAAAATCCAAATTGGAATTATCTTAAAGCAAAGGAACCCTAATTTCACAAAATTGTCAAACCTTGATTGTAATTTCAAATTTCAGATTCTGTAATCTAATATGTGTGGCTCTAATACCAGGTGAGATTAATAACATGAATATAATCACAAATTAATCCATACAATCTCAAAGATTGAATCACAAAATTCAATATAGTTTCTTTACAATCACATCCCAGAGAATAAAATAAATTAGAGGTTAGACAAACCTGTTTGAGCCATAGCTTGATACACAAATGTATTCTAAATACTAGAATTGATTGATTGTCGATCGTAGAGGCTTGTCTTTCTTTCCAATAATGTGCAAATATGACGATATTTTGAATGGATCGTTAATCATTCGTACGTTTGGATTGGGGACCTAGCTTTTTTAATAATAATTTATTGGGCCCTCTCATTACTGCTCAACAAAATTTGTAGCCCACACTTACATCATAATAACCTATATCAATTAAATATGAAGTGTATCAAACTTTCAAGAAACAACTGCAAAGTCCCTCAGGAAATCTCATTGGACTATATATATTTACCTCGTTTTATCAAATTTAAAACATAATTAATGTCAGCCCATATTTAGGAATTTTCCAACATGACAGTCATCATCAATTTCATTTGACTTTTTCCTCTTAATATAATCAAGTTCAAAAATGGGACAGTATCAATGCATGGGATTTTTGAAGAAGATGCTTATTCCTTCCATATGTCTTGGCCATTGAACTTTTATTATAACTATTATTTAAAATGAATTTTTAACTAATATTTAAAATGAATTTCTAACTAATATATTTTTCAAATGAATATAGCATGCCGACGTAGCTAGCCACATGTATTAAAGAAGAATAAGTGAGCCGCCTAAAGCTATACGCTAGATGTTTACATGTGTGGGAAAATAAATAAAGTCAAAAAATCTATTAGCCAATATTTGAGCACACTAGCTATATCTTCCTATATATATCTTCAAATTTCATGTGATTCGTTTGGTATCATTTTCTTATGGAATTTCCACACACTAGCTATAGTATTTTTTTTATTGGGACAGAGGTGGGTTGGTTCATGTTAAGATATGATTCATTTGGAATCATTTTCCTCCCAAACACTAGTTATGGAAATTCTCTCAAAGATGCCAGAAAGATATAACATATCATGGGAATAAGAGTAAAGGAAATACGTATAGCTGAAGCTTTCCTGTTTTCCTCCACAACCTTATATTCCAGATGCAACCTAACTTCACTATTATCTTCTACTATTTCTCTGGCTAACCTAAATGGACATTACTTATCAATTCAACATAGGTTAACAATGATAATCCCCATTAGATATAATTAAATAACAAAAATCCCCCAATAATTATAGAAATAATAGAAATTCACTTACCATTAATTTTTTGGTATTAAAATAAACGGTAGAAAGACAATTAAGTAAATTTTTATTAACCCATCATTTATAAATTTTAACAATATACTAATAACTCACTGATGGTTGGAGGATTTTGTTTTATTCCAAAATCTCAGGAAGATTTTATTATAATGTTGAATCTTAGAAGGCTCGTGAGCGAAACCTCTTACAACATTAAAACTCCAACAACAATAATACAAGAGAAAGATAAGAACATTATTATTTTTAATTAGTACATGTAATAATGCAATTAGCTAGCCAAATTGATTATTAATTTTCAAGTGGGACATGAATTGTATGTTTATCTGTAAAAATAAAAATTATAATTAGGCAGTGATTTATTGAAAATAATACCAACTTTCGTTCCAAACTTGCAATATTGTTTTGATATATGAATAAATGTTTGCGGGGAATGAAAGCAACTAGTTCCATTTGCCAACTCTCTCCTGACAATATTTGATATGTCTCTTAGTTGGTGCATAAAATTGACATTAGTTTCTATTTATTACTTGGTGCATAAAATAGTTCTATCCATCTTTCATATGCCCATATACCAAGATACTTACAAATGGTAGTTAGTATTACGTATTTCGTTTTGCTTCTGCCATAAATAATTAAATTGGAGAATCTCTCCTTAGAAATTGGAGAATTTTTAATTCAATCAATCCATTTTCTTATGCTTCCTATAAATACACATACTCTTTCACTTGTTTATTACCAAGCTATACCAACAAGTTTCCTTTTCTTCTTATAATTCTATTGCCCCAGGCTTGCTGGAACTTGCCAAAAAGCATGTGCGAAAACATATGGAAATTCATTGGAAATTTGAGATGCTCTAAAGCAGATTGTCTCTCTAATGGCAATCAAGTTGCGAGTGAGACGATGCATGGTGCGAACTTGGCTGTGCAACAAGTTTGCGATATTGATGTTTGTAAAGGAATCCGTATTGCTGAGGAAAATAAGAATGCCGAGCCTAATAGTTCGTTTCTTCATGCTGTCCTCAATATGATTGGAATGCTCATTGGTAAAGATTTCTACTTCTTTTTAGGGTTTATCGTTTTCTCTTGTGAGATCATTTAGTAATAACTCAACCACTTCATTCATAAAGTAATAAAAGCACCTCTATCAAGGGGTTGTTCATAATTTTGTAAGAGGGTGTTTGAAAAACCCCTTAATTTTTAATACTTTCTAAACAAAGTGGATGAGTTGAATACTAAATGATCTTATAGTAGAAAGAATTAAATAAACCCCTTCTTTTTATTTCATCATTTTGCTTCATATATAAAGCTCAAAATTAGTTACATATATGTCCCACGCATTAATATTTCAGGTCTTGGGCAGTTATCTACTCCATATGCTTTAGAAAATGGTGGGTGGGCGTCTGTATTCTTGTTGATTGGACTTGGTGTTATATGTGCTTATAGTTCTCATCTTCTCGGCAAATGTCTTGACAAAAATCCAAAGTCAAGAAGCTATGTTGATATTGGACAAAATGCATTCGGAAAAAAAGGAAGAGTTATTGCAGCAACTTTCATCTACCTAGAAATTTTCATGGCCCTTGTGTCATACACCATTTCTCTTCATGACAACTTCATCAAAGTCTTTTTTGGGAGAAACTTAAACTTGTCATGGGCTAAATTATCGACATCTCAGATACTTACCGTGATGGCAGTTTTGGTAGCACTGCCTAGTTTGTGGCTCAGAGATTTGTCTTCTATATCTTTCCTATCATCCGGTGGTATTCTCATGTCACTTCTTATTTTTATATCCGTGGCATGCACCGCCATTTTTGGAGGTGTTAAAGCAAACCATAAAATTCCAGTGCTACAACTTGATAAAATTCCTTCCATTTCTGGCCTTTACATTTTTAGTTATGCTGGCCATATTGTTTTCCCCGACTTATACAAAGCCATGAAGGATCCGTCGAAATTTACCAAGGTTCGGCAATCATACTTTATTTTTCATTCATATTTTTCTTTCACATGACTTCACACAAGAATTGGAATTTACGTGTCTCACGAAATATGTGTCAGGATATTTTGATTCATAAATGTTCTTCTATTTATTTATTTATATATATGTGACCTAAACATTTAACCAAATTTCATTATTTGGTTACATAGGTTTTGTCCTCAAACATAGTAAACTAGTATCCCACACGTATTAGATACTCTAAAACTTGATGCAATAGTTGAGTCCAATTTTTTTAACATCCCAAACATGAGACGTATGTTGACTCCAGCTGGCTTTTCCTCTATCCAATTTATTTTCTGTTTTACCATCCTAACATTTGATATATATATCCAATTTTTTTTTTAATATTTGATATTCCTTATAAACTGTTCATTTTTATTGATGCAACGATTGTAGGAGTAAAGTTAAAAGATAGTTATATATTATATGGTTTAGTATAGATAACAATATTTACATAATCACTATCTAATATAATCCTGACTTCTATAAATAGTAAATAAATATTAATTAGTATAGCTATAAATTTGTGCACAAATAATGTTCATTTAATTACTAATAATTAACTCTTTTTTCTTTTTTTTTCAATTTTTCAGGTTTCTATCGTGAGTTTTGCATTAGTCACATGTCTTTATACAGCTCTAGCCTTCATGGGTGCGAAATTGTTTGGCCCTGGAGTGAGTTCGCAAATCACTCTCAGCATGCCACCCCATCTCATCGTCACTAAAATAGCTTTATGGGCAACTGTGTTGACACCAATGACCAAATATGCTCTTGAATTTGCACCATTTGCTATTCAACTTGAACAGCATCTCCCTGTTTCATTCTCTTCCAAAACCAAAATGATCATAAGAGGAACTGTTGGTTCTTTTTTACTTCTAGTCATATTAACCCTCGCTCTTTCACTGCCATATTTTGAACACGTCCTTAGCCTTACTGGCTCTCTTGTTAGTTTTTGTATTTGTGTCATTTTACCTTGTGCCTTTTACACCAAGATCTGTTGGGCTCAAATTTCTAAACCCTTTATAATACTTAACGTTACCCTCATTGCATTTTGTTCTTTTCTTGGGGTTTTCGGAACAATTGTCTCTTCAAAGTCACTGATACAAAATCTACAGAGATCGATTCACAGGACGGGACTATGATATTAATGGAATTCGAGATTGCAGGAAGGATATTCATACATATCTGAGTTGGATCCATGATGAAGATATATTATGGTTTCTGTTGTCTATAAGTTTTTCTCTGTAACTTTTATGAAAGAAAATAAAAAGTACTCCATATAATATGCTTCAAGAGAAATCGTTTACGTATATGCTTTTTGTAATATGGCATACTTAATAAATTAATACACCTTTACTTGTACTAGTTTTAACTGTAATTTTTATTCCATGCTGCATAATTTTATTTGACAGATTCCCAATTTCAATAAATAGTTAATGACATTATTTTAGGATCCCACAATGGGATCTTACACATACCAAGTGTGGTACTTAAGCCTAGAGGTTCTCACACCTGTCAGACTGGTTTTTTGGGTTGGGTAGTGGGCCTTTGATCGGAATTGAGTTGGACATTGGTCCCTTTGTGGGCTTAGGGTAGAATTCTCCTTAGAAAACTCCTTAGAAAACTGACTTGGGAAGGAAAAAGGGTGGGCAAGTGGTTTATAAGGAGTTGGGCACCCTCCCTTGGCATGCCGGTTTTCCAAAGAGAGTTCTACCTAAGCCCACAAAAGGACCAATGTCCAGCTCAATTCCTATCAAATGCCAACTACCCAACCCAAAAGACCAGCCTGATAGGTGGGATAGCCTTAGGCTTAAGTACCACACTTGATGAGTGTGAGATCCTGATGTGGGATCCTAAAACATTAATTCCCTTTAAGGTAAGATAAAATAACAAAATTTTCTTCTGAGGTTTCAAAAACAATGGAAATTCCTCTATTATTAAGTTTTGGATGTTAAGATAAACGACAGGAGGCAATTTAGTAATATTCATTAACTTAAAGGGTGCGTTTGGATCAGGGGCATATAAGATAACAGGGGTAATCTTCATTTATTTTGCAAGATTCTGATGTTTGGTTTGCAAGTAATAAAATATTACGGAAAACTTTTATTGCAAATAGTGTTTACTGTTGGTAATGTGGGGGGTAATCCGATACCCTCCCCCAACCCTAGGATTAAAACATTGCTGGGGTAATCTAATTTTTATACCCATTTTGCCCTTAATTAAAAACTATTTCAGACACAATTGCCCTAAAATGTCTACCAAATAACAATTACCCAACCCCCCTACATTTGAGAAATTAGCTAAAACACCCCAACTACAAAAAAGTTTAAAAGTTAACAAAATACCCCCAGCCACCCAAGACCACTACTGGTCGTTACCACTGTCAGCATAGTTGCTGTAATGGTGCACGACCGGAGAGATCTGGCTAGAAACGACCAGATTTGAACATTTTTATGGCTTTTCATAGCCAAAGATCTAGCCGTTTCACCGCTAGATGTGTGGCCGTGAAACGATCATAGATCTAGTCGTGAAACTGCCATGGATTTGTGATCCATGGCCGAAAATAGATTTGCTGGCGCACGGCCGGATATATACGGCCAATCGTAAGCCATTCCATCGATTATCGGCAACGGTCAGCGGTGGTGGCTGGTTGCCGACAGCAGCTTGGGGTGGGTGGGGGTGATTTTGCTACAAATGAAATTTTTATATGGTTGGGGTTTTTTAGTAAAATTTCAAATATAGGGGGTCAAAAAAAATGATTCAAAAAATAATAATAAAAATATTATTATATTAATATTTAAAAAGGAGGGCAACTTAGTAATCTATATAACATATTGTAAAAGATAAAATTTACAATTGAATTTAAGAAGATAGAATCTTGTGGAGCGAGCCACTAACAATCTTGATATACCTGTGGGAGAGCTTTAGTAATGTAAGGAAGTCAGAGTTTGTGAAGAACTGGAGAATACGAATACTGGATATTAGGGGTGATTTCTAAATGCCTAATAAGAGGGTCAGCTCTTGTTTATATAGTGAACCCAAGGGGTCTGAATCCTAATAGGACTTTAAGTCCTACTTAGTAGGTGAGTTCTCTTTTCGGAAAGAGATTAGATTTTCTACCTTTATTAGTTCAGGCTTTCCTTTTTGGGTGAGATCTGGGATCTTGTTAAAAGAGGAATTTGACTAGGATTCTGATCCGTGTTATGGACTGCTATGGGCGAATGGGCTGAACCTAATTTAGCTTAACTTGTGGGATAGAGTAGACAGTTCACAAGGTATTTTAAGTGTGGGCTCAATCGGATTGGGCTAAGACCCTGGGTTGTTATATATTTATGATGCTATTGGACCTCGCGAGGTCTAATATGATTTTTGGCCCATACAGTTTGTCCATCACTCTTTAAGTTAAAGGGTATTTAGCTTAGACAGTAGATTCAATTACTCGCATTCTGGATACGAATAGGTCATTGCTCCTGGGTGGAGAGTTTAACCGTTGTAGGTGTCCTAAGGACACGTCTAGATCAGCTTGATATCAATGGCTGAGCTGAATGAAAAAAAAAAAATCGCAGGCATTCCCTCACTCTTTAAGTTAAAAGGTATTTAGCTTAGAGAGTAGATTCAATTACTCGCATTTTGGATATGAATAGGCCATTGCTGCTGGGCGGAGAGTTTGACCGTTGTAGGTGTCTTAGGGACACATCTAGATCGGCTCGATATCAATGGTTAAGCCGAATGAAAAAGATATCGCAGGCATTTCGTGTGAAGTTTCTAATAAAGGCATATTAGTACTTGCCCGGTTTGGCAGGGTTTCGCGGTGTTTGGCGAGGAGTACTTCATCCGAACCGAGCAAGATGCATCTAGTCTAGATCCTTTAAGCGCGATCATCTGATACTGGCTTAGCCTTGTTAGCAAGTGATCAGGTACACGCAGCGAAAAACACAAATTCAAAAACAAATAAAAATCTGATCAAATGTTTAATCCCAAATCTGGGTATAGATTATAATGTTTACATGTTTATAAATTCTGCATTAAAAACAATAATAAATCCATACAAGGATTCAGAATAACTTATCAACGTTTGGAGGCTCCTTCAATACTTTAGTTTCGCTTGTCGATTAAGAAGAGAATCACACGAACGTCGTCCACAGAAGATAATCCGTAAAACCTACTATTGTTTTGCTAGAACAAATAGAAGGCTTCAAGAATCAAGTTAATAAAAAAAAAATTATTTGATTCACTTACACTTTGAAAAAACGTGAGAGAGGGAGAAGGGTGGCTAGGGTTTTTCTTTTATTCAATGAATGAAAAATTGTTCTATTATGTTTTAATTAAGTTTCACTTATATAGTGTCACTCAATTAAAACCCTAATACCAATAGGAATAGCCATGAACTCTCAAGTTAATCCATCCTTGCAACCAAACACACCCTTTATGGTATTTTTAATTTTAATTAATTATTAATGTAATTAAAATCAATTAATATATAATAATATATTAACATTTAATTATTAATAATAATCCATTTAAATACATGAGCACATATATTTAAATATAATCTCACTAATTTTAGTTTTAATATTAAAATTAAATACAGACAACAACCTTAACAAATTTAATTACACTATGAGATTACCAAAATACCCGTTCGTCCTAAAAGACGAAAATACCGCTTTCATAAAAACTATTCTTAAATTATCTTCTAAGTGTGTGACCCGTAGGCTCCTTATCATATCAGCAGTGAGTAGCGTCGCGATTAACACCAATTAATCATCTCACTATCAATGATAGATTCAGATTCAACGAAATAGCTACCTATCAACGATCTGGTTACTCTACAATCAAATCCTTTCATCATCCGTTATCTCATCGAGGCTGAGGTACTGAAATAGTGCCAACCCCAATAATGCTCGATATCTTTGTATTCAGTTATGGACCAATGACCGGAATAATAAATTGGGTTGAGCAACAACTCAATCCTACTGTGGCCACAACTTTAGTGTCATTGCCATTCACCGAATTGCGCCATAAGATAACTTCTCCTGTACCCGGGAGTGATGAATCCTTTGTTGATCCACCATAGTCTTGATACACTCCTCAATGCAGCTAATCACTACCGTATTGATAGCTCTGAATAGAATTACGTTAGGCTAGTGTCAAACTACACCAATCGGTGCACAAGGTGCTCCGGTGATCTCAAGTCTAAGAATCATATGCACCACCATTCGTTAGAGGATTTATTCCATAGACATTGGGGTTACCATCTATATAGAATCCTCTGGTGGGTATGTCCAGTGAACTTGCCTACAACAAGCACCCATGTGTTGCACCAGGTTGTCGGCAAACAACCTTGACAAGTGATATCAGTCACTGTCTTTCAACAGGGTCGTTCAACAGTATGATAGCCTTACTGTATTATATGTGTCCTTGGTCAAAATAATACTGGGGCTATGAATATTTCCAGAATGGCCACCATATGTGATCATAGGGTTCTCACTATCAAGATTTGAAACACTTGATACCCTCGTCACAGTTCTACCACCCTAAAGATATATATCAATGCATGCAATTATGATTTACATGATATAGAAGAAAATTGCCTTTTATTGATTAATAAACATTATTACAAAGAGTCAATTTTACAATAATTGATTGGCTCTAGGGCACCAACTCTAACAAGCCCGTTCTGTTTTGGATGTTGTTGGCTAGCTAGATAAAGGTTTCCAGTTTGAGCAAAGCCGATCGAAGTGATTGCTGAGTTCTTGAAGAGGTGAGGGTGTGAAGGTATGGGTCTTTGACCTTCTATTGGGGCATCTTGTTGGGAACATTCAAGCCGTGTTGATTTGGTAAGATTGAAGGATCCTAGGATGGCGCGGTAAGGATGCTCACGTGTCTTACTTCGTGTGGATAATGTGCGAGATTGGAGAGGTGAGAAACGAAAAGTTTCCGCCTTCTGGCTACCAATAGAATTTTGCCACCCGTTCCTTGGTAGGATGGAGTCCCTTAAAGCCAGTGTCACTTCGTTTTTTCAAACCCATTTTTGCATTAGGATTCGTTTTAGGAGTGAGAAAGCACAACATCATTTTTTACTTTGGAATTTTTCGTTTTCGGCCATTCATCAAGATAAATCCTTGCTTTTTTGTTTCTTTTCTTGGTTCTTTGTTGTTTTTGCATCAAAAGAGTGAGAAGTGAAGTGTTTGAAGGCTCATTTGGGGGAATTTTGGTTTGTTTGGAGTTTGGGTTTTGTGTTTTTGAAGAAAAGTGATTTTGTGGAGTTTTTAGGCTGGTTTCTGGAGGTGAAGCGATTTCTGGGTTCACAATGGAGGAAAGGACGAAGGCAAAGGATTTTTTT